TTGCCTTTCTTGAGGGTGGCCATGACATGCCACCCACACCGGCAGCGGGCAGTCTGTTCAGCCGGCCCTGGATCCCCTTCACAGAGATGACATATAGACTTTTGGCTCCCGAGTTGTCAGCACCGTTGATCACCGCTCCGACCGGAAGACCCAGGGAAATCCGGAACTTTGCACCGGGGGACCCACCACGTCCTCACTTCGACATCTCGAACGCCGGAAAGAGACAGAAAAGGGACTGATACTTATTTAGGGTTATGGCAGAGGAGGCTGGGAGGTAAATGGGTATCTAAGAATAATGAGTACAGGAATGAAGGAAATGTCCTAAAATTGATTGCGGTGGTGATTGCACAACACTTATTAATAGGTTTAAATGACTGGATTGTATGGTATGTGAATTATATGTCAATAAAACTGGTAAACTTTTAAAGAAAACACTTGGGCACTTACTAATGAAGACCAAAGACTGTAGTCTTCGATTATACCTCAACATAAGAAAACAAAAGTCTTCACAATGGGCCAACAAGCACCATGACAAGAAACAGAGACAAGCTGAAAGTTGTCAAGGATTTCATTTTGCTTGGATCCATAATCAATGCCCAGGAAGCGGCGATCAGAAATTAAATGAGGTAGTCAACTGAACGCATCTGTGGCAAAAGCTCTCTGTAAAAGTGTTAAAAAGCAAGATGTCATTTTGAAGACAGAGGTGTGCCTGCCACGAGCCAGAATATAAACCAAACGAACTCATTGCCATCGTCGATTCCAATTTATAGTGACACTATAGGGCAGAGTAGAACTGCCTCTTTGGGTTTCTTAGACTTTAAATCTTTACAGGAGTTGACAGTCCCAAGAGTAGGCAGCCTGTAGGTCTGAACCACAGACCTTGTGATAAGCAGCTCAATGCATAGCCCACTACAGGATCAGGGCTCCTTGACACAAGCTGTGGTCTTTTCCATCACTTCCTATGCAGACAAACTGCCAGAAGGACAAACAAGTCTGTCTTGGTGGGATCACAGCCAGAGTGCTCCTCAGCGGATGGCAACACTGTAACTCATGTCCTTTGGACATGACGAAACCCCACTGTCTTTGAGTTGACGCTGACTCGTACCAACCTTCCATGTGGTTTCCTTACAGAAGCAGGCCTCATCTTTTTCTCAAAGCGCAGTGGGTGGGTTTGAACTGTCAACCTTGCAGACCTTGAGAAAAGGTCTTTACCAGGGCTCCTTTGGTAAAGTAGAGAGTCGGTGAGAAAGAGGAAGACCCTGACGAAGTTGGATTGACCAGTGGATGCAACAATAGACTGCAACCCAGCAATGGTGCGGATGGCACAGAACCGGACACTGTTTCATTCTGTTGTGCATGGGGTTGTTGAGTGTAAATTACCACGGGCAATTTTTGAGAATAAAAGAGCATAATGTTAACCAAAGCTAGGGTAGCTGAAATGATTGAGGAAGCCCTGTTTAAGGGTGGGAGGCCTAATTCAGTGCTTTTTGCAATATTAACAATAGCAACTCCTAATCATAACTATGCTAACCTCTTTATTTCCGTTCATTCCCTCCTCGCAGAAGCCTTGGGATATGCTTTTATGATTCCCATTTTACAGAGCCAAGGATTGAGGTACAGAGGGAAGGTGGGTGTATGAGAGAGAGACCACCCATGCACAGGGCATGGACTAGGTTGGGATCCAATTCCTAGAGTCTCAAATGGGCAGGTCATAACCTAGCACACAGCACACTCGGGTAGGGTGGTGGCCTCAGGGGTCTTTAGAGGCAGTAGAACCCAAAGGGAAAAGGTGCAAAGTCACATGGGAACGTGTGCTGCCCCAGTGGTGGGAAGCCAGCACCAGTTTGAGGGGGGAGGCAGGAATCAGAGGTGGGCGGGGCTGGAGTGAGTTTAGCTCCCAGTGCCACGCTGCCAAATCCCACCTACCATAATACAGGTAGCCAGAGGCATGGCCAGTGAGTGGATGAGGGCAGCTAAGTACTCAGATACCCACACACACACACACACACACCCAAGGCTGCTCTGGCCTGTGGAGGGTCAAGGTCTTCATGCATGTGCTTGGCTGGGGTAGAGTGAGGCAGTTTCTTAGCAGCAACAGCTTCCTTCCTGGCCGGGTCCCTTTCTCACCTGGACACTCTCATAATGCTGTGGCTCCCCACGCACCCAGAAATAGGGAGCGGCAATAGGGGGAAGCAGAGTTGGCCCGGAGCTCTGGTGGCAAAGTAGTTATGCCTTTGGCTGCTTACTGCAAACGCAGCAGTTGGGAACTTCCAGATGTTCCGTGGGAGGAAGATCAGACTTTCCAGTCCCACAAAGCGTTACCATCGCTGGACCCACAGGGGCAGTTCTACCCCACTGCGAGTTGGAAGAAATTGATGGCAGTGAGTTTTTTTGAGTGAGGGTCGGCCCATGGAAACCCAGTTGACACTAACAGACCCTCACAGGTACCCATGCACCTTCAGCCACATGCATACCCAAGAAACAGAGCTCCCCGCGCCCACCACCATCACCACACACCCAGACTGGCCTAGCTCACACCCACACACACACAGGAACCACCCACACTTATACAGCCCTCCCCTTCCTCACCCACACCCCCACCCCAAAATCCACAACGCTCCACCACTATCTTATGGCTCCAACATCCCAGCGACCTGCGTCCTTTCACAGTCCCAGGGCAGAGCCTTGAACACAGTTCCCACAGCCCTTGTAGACTCCTTCCCAGTGGAAGGTGGGAAGGCAAAAAAAGTCAGGGACGGTGTCTGCTACTATGACTGCAGTAGTAAATACTTTATGTGACTGTTCGGCAAAGGTCAATCCAATTGAACCCCAAACCACCCTGGCCGCTTGTTGTTCTTGTTAGGTGCCATGTCCAGTCGGTTCCGACTCCTATGCTCAACGAAACCCTGCCCAGTCCAGCGCCATCCTCACAATGGCTTCTACGCTTGAGCTCACTGTTGCAAGCACTCTGTCCACCCATCTCCTCAAGGGCCCTCCTCTTCCTCACTGTCCCTCTACTTGACCACGCATGAAGCCCAGCAGGCTCTCATAATTATCCATTCCACAGGTGCGGCCATGGAATTCACATCCCTTCCAACTTTGATCACTCATCTCCCCTTTTCCTCGAAGGAAAACTGGAGCCTTGGACAGGCATTGCAGGTCTCCCAAATCCATCTTCCCAGCCTCGGAAACGGAGCATTCACTGCCCTTCCCACTCCTATTGCACGGTACCCAGGTGGGAAATAAGGGATAGCCCCAAGGGAGGGGCGGGACTTGTTGCAAGGCGGGGCCAACGCCCTCCAGCCTTCCTATTGGTGCTCCTCTCGTTGTGGGAGGGACAGCTCGAAATCGGTCTTCAGGATTTGCTGTCGCTCCGGGGTCGGGGCGGTGACTCGGAAGCTCTTCGGGCAAACATGGCGGCGCCCAGCGGCCGGACAGAGCCGGTCGGGAGGCGGCGGCCGGCCGCGTGAGAAGGTAGGTCTCAGGCGGAGGGCCAGCGCGAGCCTCTGGGCCCCGAGGTGGCTCGTTCCGGCTCCTGGAGCGCGGGAGGGCTGGCCCCAGGGACCCAGGTGCAGGGCCAGGGCGCCGTGACCTTTGGGGGTGCGGGACGCGGACATGCGGGAAAGCGCCCCGGCAGCCTCACATTCCTTACCTCCCACTGAGACCCGGAGAGGTTCGGACCCTCACCCGGAGCTCACGTTGCACGTCGTTCGTTCGCAGGTGGGGATTCGAACCCGCGGCTACCGTTTTGCAAAACGCAGGAGGGACGCAGAAGCTTGGCAGCCCGCCGCAGAGCTGCTGTACGTACCCTCAGCCGCGGCGCTCAGATTTGGGGAAGGTTCTTGTAGAGATTCACAGAAGAGCTTACTTTTTCCATCGCTCCTTGCTGGGCCCCTGCCACTTAGCAGGTCGTGCCCTAGGTGCGGTGCTAGAGCCCCAGCAGGAAACCAGACAGACAGAACTCCCCGCTTTCCTGAGCAAGGCAAAAGTAAGCCTACCAGGGGATTTCAGGAATGGAGCACTGCTGACAGTGCTGTAACGTTGGCGGCGGGGTTTTGAGATTGTGGGCAGGTGGGTCACGGAAGGTATCTCATTTGAATAGACGGTCCTGACAGCTAGGTGGGTGGGTCTGGGGAAGTTTCGTTTTAAACCCAGCGGGGAAGGAAGCGCAGGAATCCTAAAAGGTGTAAAACACAGCTTGTTAAAAGAAACAGTGTAGCTGAAAGGGGTAAACCCTTTAGGATTTTAATGTGATAAACCATTAGTGAATTTAGGCAGAGAGCACTGAAATTAGTTTCCAGTTTTAAAAGCTGTCTCGGACCCCAATGGCAAGGAAAACAGACTGAAGGCTGCAGACATCCAGGGGCGAGGGATTGGGTTGGGGAAAGGGGGAAGGTTGGCCTGTGGCTACAAAGAAATGGCCCAGTGTTAGCGAGAGTCACCAGGAACGGGGTGGGGGGAAGAGATTGTGGACTTAAGAGCTGCTACCTAGGTTTGTGACCTATTCAAAAGAGGAGTGGTGGTGCCCCGGCTGAGATGGGGAGGAACAAGTTGCAACAGAGGACCTGGTTTGGAGTCAGTTAAGGTAGGGTGTGAGGCTGGAAGTCTGGGCTGCTGTGGGAAATAAGCAGTTGGGAGCCATCAGTGCATAGAGCATTTCCTACACTTTCAGACACTCAGGAGACCTCGTCTGGGGTTCTTGTGAAAATGCAGCTTCTGATGGAGCAGATGCTCCCTAAACGGAAGCTACTCATCCTGGGTACACATTTTGAGCAGCGAGGGTTTCAAGTCATTGGTGTGCTTTTCAAATCTGGTGCCTGATTTCATCTAGCTATCTGGGCTGTAGCCGAAGAAGCTGTTGGTGAAGGAGTGAGTTATTCCGTGGGCTGCTAGCTTCAAGGTCAGCAGTTCAAAACCACCAGCCACTCTGCAGGAGAAAGGTGCGACAGTTGAAGTCTCAGAAACCCACAGCAGTAGGGTCAACAGTATTGCAATGAATGACAGCGGAAGTGGACATCTCTGATGTCCTCTGGCTTTCCTCTTGCCAAAAGGCAAGAGTCAGACATGCCTCCACGCTCCATCCTTCAATACCTATTTTGATCAGCCACTCTTCCCACGCCACTCTGCATTTTGCCGAGTTTGATAATTCATTGAAACCACCGCCCAGAACTCAGACAGTCATCACAATTAAGGGAAGAAAAGATCGAAGTAGTCAAAGGTTTTATCTTGCTTGGATCTACAGTCATTGCTCGTAGAAGCAGCAGTCAAGGAATCAGAAGACACATGACCTGGGGTAAATGTTACTTTGAGGGCTAAAGCGCCCCTGACCCAAGCCATGGTGTCTTCAGTTGCCTCCTATGCATGTGAAAGCTGGACACAGAATAAGGAAGACCGGAGAAGAATGGATGTGTCCGAGTTATGTGTTGGCAAAGAATATCGAAAGTACCGTGGACTGCCAAAAGAAGAAACAAATCTGTCTTGGAAGAAATACAGCCAGAATGCTTCCTAGAGGCAAAGATGGTGAGACTTCATCTCCCGTCGTTTGGACATGTCAGGAGAGGCCAATCCCTGGAAGAGGAGGAAGGCACATGACAAGCTGGATGGACATAGTGGCTGCAACAATGGGCTCAAAGATAAGAATAACTGTGAGGATGGTGCAGGGCCCGGGCAGTGTTTCATTCTGCTGTACTGAGGTCTCTGCGAGTCAAAGCTGACTTGATGGCACCTAGCATTAGGGAAGCCATAGGCTACCACAAGCCGGGACCGGCAAACGGTAAAGTTCCAGTCACTGGTCTCCTCACTCGGCAGCCAAGTCACGCCCGACCCTCAGTCTCTCGGCCACATGGTCCCTTGGCCTTTGCCTCCACAGGCCAGCAAGCTAGCCCACCTCTGTCCTGTAGTCTTGGCGCTGTTCCTCTGAGTCTGCACAGTCTCTGCTGCATCAGCCTCCGCCGCCTCATAAGGTCCTCAGGCTTTCTCTTTCTGCTGCTACTTCAAGAATGACTCATCCTTATAGGTGTGTGTATGAGAGAGAGAGAGAGAGAGAAAACTGACCAGTCCCCTCTCTTAGTGTCACACATGCATAGTCCCACCCCGTCACTTTGTGGGACTTACAGAAAGTTTGAGCTCCCCCTCCAAACAAACAAACAGAGTGACCCTATAGGACAAGGTAGCACTTGCCCCTGTGGGGATAGAAAGCCTCCTCTTTCTCCAGCAGAGCTGCTGGTGGTTTTGAACTGCTGACCTTGGGCTCGGGGGAGACTTGGGTAGAGAACTAGATGAAAAAATTTCACTTCACCACAATTTTGCTGGCAAGCCGAGTCCAATAACACATCTACAGGACTATGCACCATGACTTATCCTAGGAAGGCAAGTAGGCAGTTTAATATTTAAATACCAATCATGTAATAGACAGATGAATAAGGGACACAAAATGTATGATGATCTCAGTAGAGACAAAAACCATCTGGCGAAATCTAGCACCCTCTCATGACAAACGCCCAACAAACTTGTGTTTAAAGAAAAGGAAAGAAAAAAGAATGGGACTTTTCTTAACTTGAAAAAGGGCATCTATGAAAAACCCACAGTTCACATCACACTTTAAAGACTTTTGAAGGCTTTCTCTCTAAGAGCAGGCAGACGTTAAGGATGTCTCCTCTCCCTTTCCTTTTTGACGTTGTACTGGAGGGGGTAGCTACAGCAGACAGGGAAGAAGAAGAAATCAAAGGCATCCAGATTGGAAAGGAAAAAGTAGACTGTATTTATTGGTAGGTGATGTGATCTTGTATGTAGAAATCCCAAAAGAATACACTAAAAAACATTAGAACTGGTAAATCGTAAATCCTCAGCCAAGCTGCAGGATACACAATCAGCAGATAAAAATGTATCTCTATGCACAGGCAACAAATAATGCAAAAATGAAATTAAGAAAACAATTGGTTACAATACCTTCATAAAAAACAAGACACTTATGAAAAAATTTAACAAAAAATGTGTGAGATTAGTACACTGAATACTACTATCCACTGTTCAAGATTAAAGAATAGACAAGTGGAGAGATCACATCCTATTAGTCATGGATCTGAGGACTTACTGTTAAGATAGTAACACTTTCCCAAATTGATCTATACCAGTGTTCCTCAAAATGTAAATCCTGCCCCCAGTGAGTTCTGGAACAGTCCAGGGGGACTGCAAAAGCAGATAGCCTATACTTTATCCTGGTCGATGGGCTAAAACCCAAGTTTTTCATTGCCAGAGGGAGACCGAGTGATTTTTTCCCCCTGAAAAGAGGACAGTAGGCCAAATCCATTGGAAAACCTATGAACTATACATCCCTTAACACAGTATCAGAATCCCAGCTGGCTTTCTTGTAGAAATTAACAAGCTAATCCTAAAATTCCTATAGAAATGAAAGGGGCCCAGACTAGCTAATACGACCTGAAGAAGAACAAAATTGGAGGACTCACACCTTCCAGTTATAAAACCTCATCAAGATAATGTGGTCTTGGCTTAAGGTTAAACACACAGACCCATGGCATTGAGTCGAGAGGCCAGAAACAAAGCCACACATTTATGGGCAACTGGTTTTCAGTCGGGGCCATAGTAATAAAGGGGGGAAATGAGTCTTTTCAACAAGTGGTGCTGGGATAACTGGATGTCCACATGCAAACAAAAGAATGGAATCCCTTCTTCACACCTCACACACATGGACTTCAATGTAAGAGAGAAAACTAAAAGAAAACAGTAGTAAATCCAGTGGGTTAGGTAATGGTTTCTTAGATACCAACCCAAAAACGTGGCTACAGATGAAAAACAAACTGGAGTTCATTAGAATTTTAAACTGTGCTGCAAGCAGTACCATCAAGGACGTAAAAGGGCAACCCACAGAAGACACTGTTTGCAAATCACTTTTTTTTAACTCACTGCCACCGAGTCCATGCTGACTCATAGTGACCCTGTAGGACAGGGGTCCTCAAACTTTTTAAACGGGGCCAGTTCACTGTCCCTCAGACCCGTTGGAGGGCTGGACTATAGTTAAAAAAAAACTGAACAAATTCCTATGCACACTGCACATATCTTATTTTGAAGTTTAAAAAAATGGGGCAAAAACACCTGACGGGCGGATAAATGTCCTCGGTGGGCCAGGTGTGGCCCGCGGGCCGTAGTTTGAGGTCGCCTGCTATAGGACCAGGAAAGACCACCCCTGTGAGTTTCTGAGACTAATTGTTCATGGGCCTAGAAAAGCCCTGTCTTTCTCCCAGGGAGCTGGCTGGTAGCTTTGAACTGCTGACCATCATAAGAGTCTTGTATCCAGAATGAACAACTCTGACAACTCAATAATAAAAGAATGAAAAACCAAAGGTTTTTTGTTGTTATTTTTTAATTACTTGACAAGGGATCTGAAGAGACTTCTCCAAAGCAGCTCAACAGATGATCAGCCAGCACAGGAAAATTACTCAACATTATCAGAATGGGGAAAATGCCAGGGCAAGCCACAGGGAGGTCCAGCTTCACATCCAAATCCCCCTTGCCTTCAAGTTTCTCCCAACTGCTGGCTACCCTGTGAGACACAGGGTTTTATAAGACTTTACAGTTTTCTCCTGCTGAGTGGCTGGTGGTTTTGAACTGCTGACCTTGTAATTAGCAGCCCACCCAATGGACGCGTAACTCACCTTTCACACCCACTAGGATAGAGCTACAGGAGGAAAATGAGGCTTCTTTGCTCTTGTAAGACTTACAGTCTCAGAAACCCCATGGAGCCCCACTAGTCTGCCCTGGAGGGGTTTTAAAAGTTGGAATTGCGTCAACAGAAGTGCGTTTGAAGATAGTTCGAACTGAAAAAACAGGCAATCACGAAGGTTGGAGAGAGTGGGGGGAAACTGGAACACGGATACTGGAGGGCCTATCATGGGAGGGCCACTGTAGAAAACAGATCCGTGGTCCCGCCGAATAACAACACATGTCCCAGCAGCTCTGCTCACTCGGAGACTGGTGCCCAGCAGCATGAGTCCACATGTAGAGACAAACAGGATGTCTGGCAGTTGATGACGAGAAGTAAGATGCGCTTAAAGTCACTCAAAACTCAGAACACGCAACTGCTATCAAACCCATTCCGGCTCAGCCACCCTACGAACTGGTTTCAAACCGCTGGCCTTGTGGTTAGCAGCCTAATACGTAACCACTGCCACCAGGCCTCACACCACGGGTCAAGGACAAGAAATGTCGTTCTGTACATGCTACAACGTGGATGAACCCTGAAAACATGCAAAGTAAAAAAACAGACAAAAGCACGTGTTATCCAACTGTTCATAGGAAATGCCCCAAAGGGACCTATATAGAAAGGAGAGTAGTGTGGTTTTGTGGCTGGGGAGTCAGAGGAAATGGAGTGACTGCTAACAGGCACAAGGTTTCTTCTTGGTAGTTGCCCAAATCTCTGAACACCCTAAAGCCCACTGAATTGTACACGTTACAGTATATAGATATCGATATATATACACGATATAGTATATAGATAAGTCTTTTTTTAATTAAAAAACAAAATGATCCAGGAGGTAGGGGACCGTGGCAGAGCTAATTCCTTGAGAAAGTGAAAGGTCCAGGCCATCAGAAGCAAGGACCCTTGTTTGTAACACGTCAGCTAAGCCCTGTCTGATGGGTGAGGACACAAGGCCACTGAGACTCACCGTGGGCCTTGTCCAGAGTCCAGTTAGTCTGACCATGGGGGGCTTCTTTCTGAATGAGTGATGATAGCGAGCTGATGATGTTTCTTCTTTTGGCCAGGTAGTCATCTGACCAGCTGCCATGAGCTGGGCCCAAGCCATCCTGCTGGCCCGGAGCCTCTCTCGAGGCTGGGCTGGCGTCCGTGGAGCTGCCCTCAAAGGAGCCCCCATCTCTCAGGTAACAGTCAGGGGAGGAAACCTGGGATTGTTCCCAATCCCTTCAAAACCCACCCTGTGAGGCCAGTTCTGGGGGATCGGAGCTGGCCTGTCTACTCTGAGGTTGCAGGTCCCTAACTTATTTGTAAGAGGTGCTAGTGCCCATTAGAGGGCCCTGGTGGTATGCTGATTACACACTGGGCTGCTAACCATCACGTCAGCTGTTTGAAACTACCTGTGGCTCGGCAGGAGAGAGGTGAGCTCTTCTACTCCCGTAAAGGGTTTAGCGTCTCGGAAACCCACAGGGGCTGTTCTACCGTCCTACAGGGAGGGTCGCTCGGAATTCCCAATGGCCTCGACTCGGTGGCGAGTTTGGTTTGGTTTGAGTACCCATATCGGAACCCTGGTGGTGTAGTGGGCTCCATGTTGTCTGCTAACGTCAAGGCTAGCAGTTTGAACCCGTCAGCTGCTCCGTGGGAGAAAGGTGAGGCTGTTTCTGCTCCGGTACAATGCACAGGCTCAGAAGCTGTAGGGAGCGGTTCTGTTCGCCTCTGTAGGGTTCCTGAGTCCAAAGCAACTCAGTGGCGGTGGGTTTGGGTTTAGTTGGGTGGTGCCCAGATGGGTGAGGAGGTGAGATTTGACAAGAAAAAAAATGTGTGCGATGAGTAGCTTTGCGGGGTGACTGTGGGTGGCTCCCATAAGCACTTCAAAAGATGGGTAGGAAATTGAAGTTCCTTAACTTACCCAGAGTGACTGGAAGATGCAAGCAAATCGTGCCATAGGTAACAATGGGAAGGTGGTATGGCTTTGGCAGCTGTTCCGTGCCAAGCTCGGGGTGGAGCACTTTCCTTGCATGATCTCCTTGGTGGTGCGTCCCCGCCGCTTTGGGCATTCCAGAACGTCCTTCCCAGTTGCTCCACGGACACACTGCCCGGCTTGGGATTTCAGAAAACCAGACCTGTTGTCAGAGGTTGAGTCGATTCCAACTCCTGGTGAACTCAGAGGAGTGCTGTCCCACCGAGCTCCCGACACTGCGACCTCAACGGAAGCAGATCGCCAGGCCTTTTCGCCCCCGAGACGCTGCTGGGTTCAAACGCCATGACCTTTCAATCAGCAGCCACTTGAGGGGAGCACTGAGTCACTGTGCCACCAGAGCACCTCTCTGCCGCATTAACCCAAAACCCAGCACAGGGCCACGGATTCGATTTCGACTCACGGTGACCCAATTAGCCCCAGGTGGGCTCTGAGACTGCAGCCCTTCCGTCTCCACCCCCTCATAGTTTTCGTGATTTAAAATTCACGTGCCCTGTACTCCACAGTTGTATATACATCATCACAATCCGTTCTAGCGCACCCTTCCGTATTCATCATTTGTCCCCCCTTAAGTCCCCTCAGACTCCACTCCTCATCCCTGACAAGGTATTACATCAGTCATTGCCAAGATCCTAACTCTTCATGGGAGTAGAAAGCCTCACCTTTCTCCCACAGAGCAGTTGGTGGTTTCGAACTGCTGTCCTTTCAGTTAGCAGCCCAGCACATAACCCACTATGCCACCAAGGCTCCTCCTGGTTGCCTACCTTCTCACTTTAGATCAATGCCATTTTTTGTTTGAGTTTGTTTTTTAATACCACCTGATCTGGCTCCTACTCTGGACATACTGTCAGGAGAGTCCAGTCCCTGGAGAAAGACATCATGTTTGGTAATGTGGCAGGGTGGCGAAAAAGAGGCAGGCCCTCGGCTAGATGGAGGGGCACAGTGGCTGCAACAGTGGGCTCCGGCACAGGAACGTAGGATGGCCCAGGACCGTGCAGTGTTCTGTTCTGTTGTGCATAGGGTCGCTGTGGGTCTTAGCTGACGCGAGGGCACCTAACAATAGCCGCCTCAAGGGTTAGTTAAGTGCCTGACTGCTAACCACAGGTCAGTGGCTCCAACCCACCAGGTGCTTCCTAGGGAGGAAGATACCTCTGTCTGCATCCACTTTTGCACAGATGCCAGCCGTGGGATCCCCAGGGGGCAGTTCTAGGCGGCCTGGTAGGGTGGCTACAGTTACAGTCGGTTTGGGGGGTTTTGTTTCATTTTCTAAGCTGAGCTGTCGTGGGCAGCAGAGCGGAGGGGTGGAGAACAGAGTCTCCAGTCTCCCCTCTGCAGCTGTTGACACCAGGGGTCCCAGTTGGTCTCTGGGCCTTGGTAGCCATCAAATAGGCGCAGGGAGAGGACTCCCTTGAAAGGCAGTTGTAAACATCAAAATGAGTCTCATGCTAATAAAGGGTCCAACAGTACTTGTAAGGTAGTAAATCCTCAGTAATCTTCACTTATCTAAAGTTCGAGGGGAGATTCACTTTTCATTCCACTTCATCCCATGAGTTTTTGAAGCTCCCTCGTATGAGCTCTTCAGCTGTTTGTAAAGATGCCTCGTGTCGCCATTCTCATTTACTGCGTCTTAAATTAACAGGAGGGTTCTGATCATGCCATCTGCAATAGAGATTGGCTCACTTTGTCTCAAGGGCCAAAAGATCGATATTCTCAGCCCTTGGGCTATACAAGTGGGTTCTCAACCTGTGGGTCGTGACCCCTTTGCGGGTCGAACAACCCTTTCACAGGGGGGTCACCTGATTCATCACAGTAGCAAAGGACAGTGATGAGGTAGCAATGAAAATAATTGTATGATTGGGGGTCACCACCACACGAGGAACTGTTGTAAAAGGTCGCAGCACGAGAGGAAGGTTGAGAACCGCTGGGCTATCTCCTCTGTCGACTGGCTCAGGGCTGCTGCTGAGAACCTAAAGCGTCACAGGCAATGTGGGAATGAACGGGCATGGCTGTGCCACACACGGGGATGTGATCTGTAGGGTCGGCAGTGTGAAACCGCCCACTGCTGTGAGAGGGGGACATGGCTGTCTACTCCCGTAGAGTGACCGTCTCGGAAACCCACAGGGACAGTTCTACCCTGTCCTAGAGGCTCGCGATGAGTCCCCATTAACTCAATGGCAGTGAGTTTGAGGTTTAGTTTAGTTTGGTTGGGGTTTTTTTAGTGTTCCAATAAAATTTTATTTAGAAAAGCTAGCAGCTGGCTGGGGTCAGCCTACTTCTGTCTGACAAGCACTCCCCACTCCGGGGAGCAGGAGCTCTCCCTGGCCAAAACGAGGTGTGATCCTTACCGATGGGGAAACTGAGGCCCAAGCAGTAAAGCAGGAGGTGGCCCTCACCTGGCCGAGAGCCATCAGGCCAAGATTCCTGCTGACTCCAAAACCTGAGTTTTCCTTTTCAATTATTATTTTTTTTAATGTGGACTCGGGAATGCCATTAATTGTCCTGAAGAAGAGTCCATGTTTCAGAAAGTCCTGAGACCACTCAGTTCGTTCTCCTGCCTGGAGGCAAACGGTGCTACTGCTGCTGACTTCCCTCCCAGAGATGGTCTGTCCCTGCGCCCACACAGAGGGACAGGGAGCGAGCACTTGTGCACCCTGCTGGCGCAATGGTTACGTGCTCAGCTGCTAACTGAGAGGGTGGCGGTTCGAACCCAGCGACCGCTCCAGCTGCCATCGAGCCCACTTCCGAGCCTGTGGGATGGCCTGCCTCAGGGTTTGAGGCTGACGTCGTTCCAGCAGCAGATCCCCAGGTCTTTGCTGCCAGGGTCTGGCTGGTGGGCTCAAACTGCCAGCCTCGGGGGGCTGAGCACTATGAGACGGCTTCCATTGGATTCCACACAGCTGCCACAACGTGGCTATTTCTGGGAACCCACTCAACACAGCATTTCACACCTGGCTTGTCCTCCTAAAATAGGGCTCCCCTGAGCTTAGTATCCAGATCCCATAGCAAGATCCTTAGCTGGCACTGAGACTGCAAGTGCTCCTAGTCCAGGTCTGTGGCCATTGTCATCAAGAGCTCCTTGCTGATGGCCATTGCCACTGTACAAGTCACTTGGCACATCGCACTCCAGGCTGTTTGTAAGCAGGACAGTCGTCTTGCTGAATGCAGCCTCCCCCGTGGTTTTCCCAGTGCCCACAGGGAGCGGACGAGTGCCTGTGGCCTCACCACCACGCCAGTACAGCGTGGTGGCCTCCTCACCTTAGGCAAGGCTACTTGATCCTGGCTTTTTAACCCCAGCCCCACACCTCCCTGGGGCTGCCTGGAAGCCCCCAAGGGGCACAGGGAGGTGCCAGATTCCAGCAGCACCCCTCTACCCCTCAGGTCTCCCCTCTGGCCCTGCGGGGCCTCCACGGCAGTGCTGCCACGCACAGCTCGGACCCGTCGCTGGTCCCACGCCCCCCTGAGCCCACCCGGAGGCCCGCCAAGGTCCAGGCGCTCCACGAGGAGCTGTTCGGGCAGGCAGCTGGCGGCGAGCGAGAAAAGGCGAGCTTCGTGAAGGCCGTGCAGGACTTCACGCGGCACAACGTGCACAGGCGGGGCCATGTGGACTTCATCTACCTGGCCCTGCGCAAGATGCGGCAGTACGGCGTGGAGCGGGACCTGGCCGTCTACAACCTGCTGCTCGACATCTTCCCCAAGGAGGTCTTCCGGCCGCGCAACATCATCCAGCGCATCTTCCTGCACTACCCTCGGCAGCAGGAGTGCGGCATCGCAGTCCTGGAGCAGATGGAGAACCACGGTGAGACCCCCAGCGAGCGGGGCCCCCACGCCCCACCCCCCGCAACACCCGCCAGCTACCTCACCACCCACAGCTGACCGCTGTCCTCCTCCCTCCTTGTGGGCCCCCATTGGCTTCTGGTCTCACGGCTTTACCTCGCTGATGACCCTCCCCCTCCCCCATCAATGCTCCCACTCTATCAATCCTCGACTTCCGTTCTCTCTGCCTCTGATTCGGTCACATCCACCTCTCCCGCTTTGCGTCTGCCTGCACAGGGGTGATGCCCAACCAGGAGACGGAGTTCCTGCTGATTCAGATATTTGGACGCAAAAGCTACCCTATGCTCAAGTTCCTGCGCATGCGGCTGTGGTTCTCCCGCTTCAAGAACGTCAACCCCTTCCCCTTGCCCCGGGACCTACCCCAGGACCCCGTGGACCTGGCCACGCTGGGCCTGCGGCACATGGAGCCCGACCTCAGCGCCAGGGTCACCACCTACCAGGTATCGTTGCCCCTGCCCACGCCCAAGCCCCATCATGGCTTGCCTGGGCTTGGCTTCACCTCCTGGAATGCTTGTGGTAGGACAGGTGGGGCTCCCTGCCCGACTCTCAGTGGGTACCAGGCCTTCATTCCTCACCGCAGCTTACTGATCTCTGCTCAGCATGTTCTAGGCCACAGCCTTGCTTCCTGTCCGTGAGCTCTGTGCCCTGCTGCTCCCACTGGCAGGCACACTGTCCTCAGGAAGCTCCCCCTCCAGACTCCAGGCTCCGTTCCCCTGCCCCTTCCTCGGCAACCCGACTGAGGCACTTCGCCCGGTCCTGTTGATGGATCTGCCTCTTTATTCACCACAGGTCTTGCCCACTAGATCAGGGCCCCCCACAGGGTAAACCCCCATGACTGTTTCCACCAGGTCTCCCAAGGTACCTGGCACAAAGCTGACAGCAGCTGTTGGTGGAGTGACGGAAGTCCCCCTTGGCCCCCTGTAGGCCCCCCACCTCCCCCAGGCCAGGCCTCACTGGGCAGACACAGAGAGCCTCAGATAACAGTTTCCCCTGGAGGCTCCAGTGCAGAACCCGACAAACCCTGATGTTATGGGAGGTGAGGCGGGATGGGAGGGCGAGGAGTGCAGACCAGGTGGAGGGAACAGCCTGGGAATCCCTGGAGATAATGAAAGGGCTGTGTGGGGCCAGGGCCTGGGGGAACCAGCGGGCTGGAGACAGGAAGAGGCTGGGGACTCCAGATCAGAGAACTTGGGTAAAACCTGCTACATAGGGAGGCTGAAGAAGAGGAGTGATGGCATCGGAATCATGGTTCTGGCAGGATCTGTCATGTCAAGAGCTCCCCGTGGCTGCTGTGTGGGTGGCAGAGGGATGGAGGGTGACCACAGTGTCCAGGTGAGAGGATCAAGACTTGGCCTGGAGCATGGCAGCAGAATGGAGAGGGTAGGTCCTTGTCAATGCATCCCTTCATTTTTGTAAGCAATGCGTCCACACGTTGTAAACAAGCCAAAGGGTACCAACCTCCCCCAGCCCTAGCCCCACCCCCACCCCCGTCTCCTTCCCCTGGGGGGGCACGGCCAGTACTAACACTGTTACCTTCCAGAGAGCCTACTTTTTGCAGGCAGCTCCACCTTCATCTTTTTACTGAGACACTTGCCCCCTAGCTCACTGGGAAAAGCAAACCCGAGTCCATTCTGAGTCAGCAACCCCACGGGGCAGTACAGACACTGCAGACCTCTGAAGGAGTAGAAGGCCTCCTCTTGCTCCTGTGGAGAAGCTGATGGGCTTGAACCGCTCGCCTCGTGGTCAGCAGCCTGACTCGAAACCCACTCCGCCACCTACCAGGGCTCCTTTGATGAGAAATGCATTATTGAACAGTTGAACCTGTGGTAGACATGTCGCCCTCCTACCCCAGCACCTGCATTGAGAATGAAAACCATCTAATGCTAGCCGGGGACACGGCCCTACGGATCAAGGCAGCCCAGGTAGTAGG